CAAGGCTCGAGAGTAGTCGAGGTCCAGAGGCGGTGGGATAGACGGGCAGTAGAACAAGGAGGCAGTCAAGAAAGGATCGGTATCACAAACAGGAAGTCAGAGCGCAGACAGGCAGGTTCCTGGTCCGGGTTTGAAGACGATCTGACAGGGCTTTGGCTGAAAAACAGGGCTTGATATACTGGGAGAGGTTAGTGGGGAAATGCAGTTCAGCTGGCAGAGTAATTAGAACAGAGTGAGGCAAGGTGAGGATGGTGAGTGGGAAATGCAGTGCAGCTGGCCAGGTAACAAGAGCAGAGCAGGGCGGAGCCAGGTGGAGCTCGTTAGGCAGAGTAGGGAGAGAGTGAGCAGAGTGGCAGAGAATTGAATGCAATTAATGTTGCTACCAGGGAGAGAGAGTGCTCATGACATTTTCCAAAAATTGGTACGAACGGAAAAATAACATTGCCACTCAACTTGATGAGGGATACAGGCTAGCTGTCCGCCGCCACAACGATGAGGTTAGTGTTGATAATCACAAGTTTACTGGAGAACTGAGACCAAGTAGAGACTTTGGACAGGGTGGATATGGTATAATAAAGGCAGTTTATTCAGAGGTAAAGATATCTGGAATCGCGTGCACGGACCCGTTCGTCAAACTCTTAGGGAGCTATAAATTAAGCCCCATTACTTACCATATCAGATAAGAGAAATTGCTGCAGCTACATATATTTTACATCCTGGCCCTACATAGTTCACTATTTGCATCACTTACCAAAATATTACATGTGGTCATATATGCTTGGAAAGTGGAGATGCCATAGAACGTCAAAAAAGTAAACATTGCTGGAGACACATTGCCGTTTTGGAGAAGACATCGCGTTTGCTAGCGAAGAGATTTGTTGTGGCAAATGAACTTGGGCTGGGAATTGCCAGGAACCTCACGATAAGATATATGCATCAGCATTGCGAGTCTCATGATTCTATACGTATTGCGATTCGATACTGTGATTTTATTGCGCACCATATGTCTGTTGCAGAGGGATCAGAAAGCCATGAGAACGAGTTTTGATCAGTCATGGAAATAAATGTGCTGAAAACAAATTGGCTCCCAATGTGAAAAGATTGAGAACAAGCTATGAAGGAACATAATGGTGTTTTGGTGCAGGTACAGCCAACTAGCGCTAAAATATTGCGATATTGTCAATACAGTATATCGTAAAGTATCACTATGTAACTCGATTTCTTTCACCCCAATCCCTCAATTAACGGTAAATAACTGAATTGTTTGCCCCACATTTAGCTAAGATGATTAGCTAGCCAGCTAAAATGTTTTATTTAGTTAGCAGTCGCATCTACAATAGTTTACTGTCAATAACATGTCTCCAAAAATGACGTGGTGTCTCCAATTGTGTTGACATTTTACAATTGCGATGCGCATCCATGAGTATCCACTTTCTGTAGCTCAGCTGGTAGAGCATGGCGCTTGTAACGCCAAGGTAGTGGGTTCGATCCCCGGGACCACCCATACACAAAAATGTATGCACGCATGACTGTAAGTCGCTTTGGATAAAAGCGTCTGCTAAATGGCATATTATTATTATTATTATTATTATTATCTGAAGAGAGCCCCGAAACATTGTGTGCAGACATTTTATGCAATAAATGAAGTAGGTTGAATCTAGTAGTTCTGATCTTCTGATTGGTCCTGATGAGTTGGGCGAGGTCCCCTCCAGGCTACTGTCACTGTTGCATTGGCTCTGAGTCGGGTTCTCTGTCTTCAAATGTTCAGCCTAAGAGAGGGGATTTTTGTGTGTGTGTGTGTGTGTGTGTGTGTTTAACAGTGATGATGTGTGTGTGTGTGTGTGTGTGTGTGTGTGTGTGTGTGTGTGTGTGTGTGTGTGTGTGTTTAACAGTGATGATGTGTGTGTGTGTGTGTTTGTGTGTGTGTGTGTGTGTGTCCTCAGAGCAAGAACTCGTGAGTTGGAAGAACTGAGAGGCCTATGGCGTGGGTGTTGTCCTTGGCCACCTGCTGACAAGGCTGACAAGATAGGACCCTTTTGTCCATTGTTATTGGATAGGAAACAGAACTTATAACCAGCTCCTGACCTAAATAGATCTTAGCACAACATTTTACTCAACATATCATATTCCATATTCACTATAACAAATATATTTACTACGACATTAGCAAGAACCGCCACATCCTCAGCCGGCTAATCCAGTGTGTGAAGTTTTGCGGAGTGTTTTGAGTTAGCTTTGCGAGGCAAAGATGAAACTGAGGGCTCCACCAACCCTGGTAAGCCAACACTTTTGAGATCAGTCAATAAATGCTTCTGGTATTGACTTATATGCTGGCCCCTGTCTTCATGTTGTTGCTGGACATATCTTTTTTAAAATGTGTGTAGGTCACCTAAATCATCAGAAAAATTGCCCCCCCTGAGAATTTTTTCAGGAGCCGCCACTGCCGGAGTCCCCAGACAGTTTGGTGACGACCGTGAGTTCACCCCCATACTCCTCCTCCCCTTCCTGATACTCATCTCCCGCCCCCCCCTTCCTGCTCCCCCGATCCCTCCCTCCTCCAACAGTCCCTCCATCAGCTCCCCCAGACTCTGTCTGATCCGGACGCAGAAGTTGGGACAGCTGAACACGTACAGCACCGGGTTTAACACCGGGTTCAGGAAGGCAAAGGTTGTCGCCATGGGCAACGCCACCTCCACCAACGCGACCTGGAGCTGCCAGTACTGGGCGGCGACCTCGATGAGGCAGAACACGTGATAGGGCGCCCAGCAGAGGGCAAACGCCGCGATGACCGACGTCACCATTTTGGTGAAGCCACGGGATAGGCCGGGCTCGGTCCGTCTGGAAGACAATTGGACAGAGGGGGAAGTAGGGGTGGAACATTTTGGATTGGGGGTGGAGCTTTTGGTGTTTGTGTTGGGTTTTGACTCTCTACGTTCCACGTTGGTAACAATCAACGCCCCGGTGAGTCTACTACCGCTGTCCTTCCTCCTCCTCTTCCTCCTCTGGCTCAGACTGATGCTGAAGAGGGCGTAGCTCCCTGCAATCACCACTAGGGGGAGTAGGAACGCCAGGAACGTTTTGGACACAGCGGTCGCCGCCTGCCGTACCCTACAGTCCCTCTGCAGGGTCCCTGGCGACGAGTACAATCCAAAATGGTGGTAGCAGAGCTTCCTGCCGTCCTTCTTCTCTGTCACCGCCCGGAACAGGAAGTAAGGGAAGGCGTTGGCCGCCGCCCACAACCAGCCCAACGCACACACCTTGGAAGAAGAAAAAGAAGATTAGAAGATGACTTTATTGTCCAATGCCCTGAGTAACCTCTTGCCCTCAACCTCACACCCCTAGGGTCACTCTGCCTAACAGACACTTGTCTTCTGCTTTATGCAGTTTAGAAAGAGTTATTATTAAAGTGTCTACAATATTACAACAATCGGCAACACCCTATTACAGATTAAAAACCAAGTTTGAGACACTGTAAACGTTCATAAGTAATCATAATACATTACATCATTATATCATGACATCATCAACGTACGAAAACAAAACGAATGACGTAACAAAACAGAAAGTGCAGTAAAACCTTCCAGGCGGCGCTGACGGAGCGGTGGTTCTGGCTCCAGACGGGCAGCGCCACCAGGAGACAGCGGTCCAGAGAAATGGCCGCCAGGAGGAAGGCTGACACAAACATATTGAGGAAGAAGACTGAGGACTGGGCCGTACACAGCGGACCTAGAGGATAGGACCAACTTTTATTGTTCCCAAGGAGAAAACAGTGCTGCTGTATAGCAAAAAGCAATGGCATTATTCTTGTGACACTACTGTCTGTCTGTCTGTCTGTCTGTCTGTCTGTCTGTCTGTCTGTCTGTCTGTCTGTCTGTCTGTCTGTCTGTCTGTCTGTCTGTTTCTGTCTGTCTGTCTGTCTGTCTGTCTGTCTGTCTGTCTGTTCTGTCTGTCTGTCTGTCTGTCTGTCGTCTGTCTGTCTGTCTGTCGTCGTCTGTCCTGTCTGTCTGTCGTCTGTCCTGTCTGTCTGTCTGTCTGGTCTGTCTGCCTGCCTGCCTGCCTGCCTGCCTGCCTGCCTGCCTGCCTGCCTGCCTGCCTGCCTGCCTGCCTGCCTGCCTGCCTGCCTGCCCTGCCTGCCTGCCTGCCTGCTGCCTGTCTGTCTGTCTGTCTGTCTGTCGTCTGTCGTCTGTCCGTCCGTCTGTCTGTCTACTACATGACCAACGGTATGTGGACACCTGCTCGTCAAACATCTAATTTCAAAATCATGGGCATTAATATGGAGTTGGTGCCCTCTTTGCTGCTATGACAGCCTCCACTCTTCTGGGAAGACTTTCCACTAGATGTTGGAACATTGCTGCGGGGACTTGCTTCCATTCAGCCACAAGAGCATTAGTGAGGTCCGGCACTGATGTTGGGCGATTAGGCCTGGCTCGCAGATGGCGTTCCAATTCATCCCAAAGATGTTCGATGGGGTTGAGGTCAGGGCTCTGTGCAGGCCAGTCAAGTTCTTCCAGATCGATCTCGACAAACCATTTCTGTATGGAACTCACTTTGTGCACGGGGGCATTGTCATGCTGAAACTGGAAAGGGCCTTCCCCAAACTGTTGCCACAAAGTTGGAAGCACAGAATTGTATAGAATGTAATTTTATGTTGTAGCGTTAAGATTTCCCTTTACTGGAACTAAGGGGCCTGAACCATGAAAAACAGCCCCAGACCATTATGCCTTTACAGTTGGCACTATGCATTGGAGCAGGTAATGTTCTCCTGGCATCTGCCAAACCCAGATTCATCCATCGGACTGTCTGATGGTGATTCGTGATTCATCACTCCAGAGAACGCATTTCCACTGCTCCAGAGTCCAATGGTGGCGAGCTTTACACCACTCCAGCCGACGCTTAGCATTGCACATGGTGATCTTAGGCTTGTGTGCAGCTGCTCGTCCATGGAAACCCATTTCATGAAACTCCTGACGAACAGTTCTTGCGCTGACGTGGCTTCCAGGGATGGTCCCGTTTATGTGCTACGCGGTTCAGCACTCGGCGGTCCCATTCTGTGAACTTGTGTGGCCTACCACTTTGTGGCTGGGCCTTTGTTGCTCCTAGACGTTTCCACTTCACATTAACAGCACTTACAGTGGATCGGGGCAGCTCTATCAGGGCAGAAATTTGACAAACTGACTTGTTGGAAAGGTGGAATCCTATGACGGTGCCACAGTGAAAGTCACTGAGCTCTACAGTAAGGCCATTCTACTGCAAATGTCTATGGAGATTGCATGCATGGCTGTGTGTTTGATTTTATACACCTGTCAGCAACGGGTGTGGCTGAAATAGCCGAATCCACTCATTTGAAAGGGTGTCCACATACTTTTGTGTATATATAGTGTACATTGCCAATACCCATGTCATACATATATTGTACATACAGTATACATCTATTTAATGCACACTCTGTCAGTGGCTTACTAGTTTAGCTCCTACGTATTGCTGTTAATGTATTTCAATGTAGGCGTAACCATAGACACAACAATGGAGAGGCTGATGTCATAGAGCCCCTAGTCATCAGAATGGCAGAATTTGTCAGCCATTTTAGTTGTGGACCCGCTATTACTAGGACGTCACATAGAAGTAGAATTCACATTTACATTTTACATTTTAGTCATTTAGCAGACGCTCTTATCCAGAGCGACTTACAGTTAGTGAGTGCATACATAATTTTTTTATTTTTCATTCTGGCCCCCCGTGGGAATCAGACCCACAACCCTGGCGTTGCAAACGCCATGCTCTACCAACTGAGCTACATCCCTGACTTAGCGGGAGTAAAAGAAAATGCCTGAGCGGAGTTTCCACCTCTGGATTTCAGTGGAAAAGGAAGCTAGGTTGAATTAGCTATCCCGGAAAACCGGATGCATCTGGTTATTGGCAACCCCGCTAACGGTGACTGATATATGGCCTATTGGCGTACCTCCCAGCTCCCAGCTGTGAGAGGAGTGCAGGTAGTGTGTAAAGAGAGGGAGGGTCAGCGTAGCCAGGAAGTCTGACAGGGCCAGGTTGAGAACCCAGACAGAGGCCACGGTGCTGTGAAGAAAAGAGAAGGAAATTCATATTTTTACTGTCTTGTTCCAAACGTTATTCCCCATGTTATTCCCAGCCCTCCGGACACCACACACACTTCCTAAGCAGAAAACACTAGACTGAGACAACCTGTGAACCAGGGTCGAATTGAAAGCAGCCAATCCAGGAAATAAACTAAAATGACAATTCAATAATAAAAACAATTTGCATTTATTTTCAATGACTTCTCAATAAACTGAAAAGTAGAAGCTATTTCTTTCAAAAGTTTTAACATTTCTGCATTTTTTTTTCAAATCACTTCCTGAATTGACTGCCTTCATTTCGAATTGAGCCAAACTCTGCTGTGAACACACGCACGTACGCAAGTACGCACACACGCCCCCCCCCCCCCCAGCCAACCTACCGGTGGCGCAGGCGGAAGCCGACCACCCAGAGGACCAGAGCGTTCTCCAGGATGCCCAGACAGGAGACCAGGCCGTGGACACACACCACCACCAGGTTGACCCCTGTGTTGTTGTTTAGAGTGTGGTTCAGCATGATTTGGAGGAGAGGACAGACCAGAGAGGAGGAGGAGGAGGATGATGAAGAGTTGAACATCCTGGAGTTGAGTGATGAGGAAGTGGAGGAGAGTTGGAAGTCTTGGCTCTGGAGGGAAAGAGAGAGGGAGGGAGGGATGGTTGTTATATATGCTGTTGTAGAAAGGGCAGACCAGAGAGGAGGAGGGAGGAGGAGGAGGAGTTAGACATTATGGTTCTGGAGGGAGAGAGTGGAGGAGAGAGAGGGGAGAGAGAGGGAGGAGAGAGAGGGGGGAGAGAGAGGGGAGAGAGAGGGAGGAAAGAGAGGGGAGAGAGGGAGGAGAGAGAGGGGGGAGAGAGAGGGAGGAGAGAGAGGGAGGAGAGAGAGGGGAGAGAGAGGGCAGAGAGGGAGGGGGGGGAGAGAGAGGAGAGAGACACCGATAAGGACAAAGAGAGAGAGAGTGAGAGAGAGTGACAGAGAGGGGGGGGGGGGGGAGCGAGAATTAGATGAGTGACATGTAATGTCATTGGGACACCTGGTGACATTAACCATTAGTCTTTTCCAAGAACAGGCAAACAGACACAGATACAGTACTATAATGGGCAAAAAATCCAGTTGTGTTGGCCTATATTTTTTCCATTACATGAAATAATCCACTTATGGCTTGTAAATAGGGTACGTGAGTCATGACTCATGACATTAAATGTGATTACATTAATCTACAGTAATTAACAACTTTCAGATCCTCATCATTGATGTGGGGTGGACTAAGTCTCTTCCTGTTCATGTGCTTTGGATACCTAGAAACCCTTATTTTCCTGGTTGCAAAACCTCGCTGGGAAGAACACTGCACTCATAAACAATGGTCAGTATTGTAGTCCTTCGTGGGAATGACTGTTCCAACTGATTGCTCACACCTGTTACTGTGGAAGACAGAGAGGAGCAAGTTTGAACTGCTGCTTCTTAAGCTTACCGTATGCCTTCCAGTCTAAACATTTTGCGCATTTTTGTTAGTTTTGGTCTTCGGCTGCTCGTGTACATTAAATTTTTTCTTCAGGCAAGTCAATGTTTGGTAGCCGAAGTCTACGCCCCTTAGTTGGTGATTGGTCAACAGTACTACTCCTAGTGTTTTCATGCAAAAATAAAATAAAAAGAATACTGCACCAAACATCTCGATTAATTCAGACTATTTTGAGGAAGTGTTTCTGGCTATGCTGTTGCTACAGTGGCTCAAGAGGGACAAACAACAGTACAATTATAGTTCTGCTAGGAGCAAACTGAACCTACTGTATGTATGTCGACGCCTTTTGGCCCACTGAGGTTTCATCATGTGGATTATTTATTTTGGACAACTGACTGACCAGAACTGATGACATCCATATTTTTTTTCATTGTTTGCTGCTGGAATCATTGTATTTTTTTGTCTTGATGGATTTTTAACAGAATTGAATTAAACATTTGATTTCATTGGAAGACAGACATTGTTGCCTAATTGCACCAGAGAGTTGATTTCATTTAGCGAGTCAGTGACACAGACACACTCATGCACATCTGCACGTCCTCACGCTCAGAGACAGATCCTCATCATTGGTGTGGGGTGGACTAAGTCTCTTCCTGTTCATGTGCTTTGGATACCTTGGAAACCTTATTTTCCTGGTTGCAAAACCTCGCTGGGAAGAACACTGCACTCATAAACAATGGCCAGTATTGTAGTCCTTCATGGGAATGACTGTTCCAACTGATTGCTCACACCTGTTACTGTGGAAGACAGAGAGGAGCAAGTTTGAACTGATGTTCCTTAGGCTTACCGAATGCTTTCCAGTCTAAACAGTCATGCACATCTGCACATCCTCACGCTCAGAGACAGACAGATAGTCAGACAGGAAGACAGGGAAGAGCATTATCAGACTTTGCTCTTAAGAACCCAAGGCATTAACAAGGCATTCTGCCTTATCCCAAGGGTTGTCAGCTGTAAGCACCACTTATCTGTTTTAACTATAGAAACGTCCATAATAATCACTTGCTATACAGTTTTCGAAACATATGAAATTTATGTTCCATATCAGCGAGAAATAATCCTTCAAATAAAAAAGATACACTTAACATAGCAGGTTTGCACAGATCCATACGGCTGTGTGCCTCCAGCAGACCAACTACACTTCCTCTACACTTCCTCTACACGTCCTCCCCAGTTAGCTTACACACATGTGTTCGAGCAAGAGGGATAATTAGCACAGGTGGTAGCCTGTAAGCGCTGTAACATGGCGATATGGCCATGTGGGAACACTAGCCCTAACCCCATAATGTTTTTTTTCTTTTAATTTTTTCGCTGATATGAAAGATACTGTACGTTCCTTATGTTTCCAAAACTGTACCTCAAGCGATGCGTGTTAACATTCAGAACGTGCATCGGGGCTCTTAACAAAACTCCCCTGGCCAGAAGATACGTTCATGAATTGATGCTGAAGGTAGTTAAACTTGAGTCTATGAATGAGCTAGAGCCGACTGTGATAGGTAATCCAGAAAATCACATTGTAGGATTTTTAATGAATTTATTTGCAAATTATGGTGGAAAATAAGTATTTGGTCAATAACAAAAGTTTCTCAATACTTTGTTACATACCCTTTGTTGGCAATGACACAGGCCAAATGTTTTCTGTAAGTCTTCACAAGGTTTTCACACACTGTTGCTGGTATTTTGGCCCATTCCTCCATGCAGATCTCCTCTAGAGCAGTGATGTTTTGGGGCTGTCGCTGGGCAACACGGACTTTCAACTCCCTCCAAAGATTTTCTATGGGGTTGAGATCTGGAGACTGGCTAGGCCACTCCAGGACCTTGAAATGCTTCTTACGAAGCCACTCCTTCGTTGCCCGGGTGGTGTGTTTGGGATCATTGTCATGCTGAAAGACCTAGCCACGTTTCATCTTCAATGCCCTTGCTGATGGAAGGAGGTTTTCACTCAAAATCTCACAATACATGGCCCCATTCATTCTTTCCTTTACACGGATCAGTCGTCCTGGTCCCTTTGCAGAAAAACAGCCCCAAAGAATGATGTTTCCACCCCCATGCTTCACAGTAGGTATGGTGTTCTTAGGATGCAACTCAGCATTATTTGTCCTCCAAACACGACGAGTTGAGTTTTTACCAAAAAGTTATATTTTGGTTTCATCTGACCATATAACATTCTCCCAATCCTCTTCTGCATCATCCAAATGCACTCTAGCAAACTTCAGACGGGCCTGGACATGTACTGGCTTAAGCAGGGAGACACGTCTTTCACTGCAGGATTTGAGTCCCTGGCGGCGTAGTGTGTTACTGATGGTAGGCTTTGTTACTTTGGTCCCAGCTCTCTGCCGGTCATTCACTAGGTCCCCCCGTGTGGTTCTGGGATTTTTGCTCACCGTTCTTGTGATCATTTTGACCCCACGGGGTGAGATCTTGCGTGGAGCCCCAGATCGAGAGAGATTATCAGTGGTCTTGTATGTCTTCCATTTCCTAATAATTGCTCCCACAGTTGATTTCTTCAAACCAAGCTGCTTACCTATTGCAGATTCAGTCTTCCCAGCCTGGTGCAGGTCTACAATTTTGTTTCTGGTGTCCTTTGACAGCTCTTTGGTCTTGGCCATAGTGGAGTTTGGAGTGTGACTGTTTGAGGTTGTGGACAGGTGTCTTTTATGCTGATAACAAGTTCAAACAGGTGCCATTAATACAGGTAACGAGTGGAGGACAGAGGAGCCTCTTAAAGAAGAAGTTACAGGTCTGTGAGAGCAAGAAATCTTGCTTGTTTGTAGGTGACCAAATACTTATTTTCCACCATAATTTGCAAATAAATTCATTAAATATCCTACAATGTGATTATCTGGATTTTTTTCCTCAATTTGTCTCTCATAGTTGACGTGTACCTATGATGAAAATTACAGGCCTCTCTCATCTTTTTAAGTGGGAGAACTTGCACAATTGGTGGCTGACTAAATACTTTTTTCCCCCACTGTAGATAGATAGATAGATAGATGTTAGATGGTGAGTGGAGTGGTCCTACACTATGATATATATATGGTGGGGGTGGTGAGTTGAGTGGTCCTACACTATGATATATATATATGGTGGGGGTGGTTAGTGGAGTGGTCCTACACTATGATATATATATGGTTGGTTAGTGGAGTGGTCCTACACTATGATATATTTATGGTTGGTTAGTGGAGTGGTCCAACACTATGATATATATATGGTTGGGGTGGTGAGTGGAGTGGTCCTACACTATGATATATATATGGTTGGTGAGTGGAGTGGTCCTACACTATGATATATATATGGTGGGGGTGGTGAGTGGAGTGGTCCTACACTATGATATATATATATGGTGGGGGTGGTAGTGAGTGGAGTGGTCCTACACTATGATATATATATGGTGGTGGTGAGTGGAGTGGTCCTACACTATGATATATATATGGTGGGGGTGGTGAGTGGAGTGGTCCTACACTATGATATATATATGGTGGTGGGGGTGGTTAGTGGAGTGGTCCTACACTATGATATATATATATGGTGGTGGTGGTAGTGAGTGGAGTGGTCCTACACTATGATATATATATATATATGGTGGGGGTGGTTAGTGGAGTGGTCCTACACTATGATATATATATATGGTGGTGGGGGTGGTTATTGGAGTGGTCCTACACTATGATATATATATATGGTGGGGGTGGTGGTGAGTGGAGTGGTCCAACACTATGATATATATATATGGTGGGGGTGGTTAGTGGAGTGGTCCTACACTATGATATATATATATGGTGGTGGGGGTGGTTAGTGGATTGGTCCTACACTATGATATATATATATATATATGGTGGGGGTGGTGAGTGGAGTGGTCCTACACTATGATTATATATATGGTGGGGGTGGTGAGTGGAGTGGTCCTACACTATGATATATCTATATATGGTGGGGGTGGTGGTGAGTGGAGTGGTCCTACACTATGATATATACAGTGGGGAGAACAAGTATTTGATACACTGCCGATTTTGCAGGTTTTGCTACTTACAAAGCATGTAGAGGTCTGTAATTTTTATCATAGGTACACTTCAACTGTGAGAGACGGAATCTAAAACAAAAATCCAGAAAATCA